TGGTCTGTGCGGCAATGCAAGCCCTGCTAGTGAGGATGCACTCCTCTGACACAATGAGTGTAGTGTGGACACACAAGATTGATTTGCTTCAATCGGAGGCTCAATGTCAACTACGCTATAAAGTTAAGTTGACTTTATGTAAGACATGGCTTAACTGTAGGGATAGTTAAGGACTGAACAGGCTTCCAAGGGAAGTTTTGGAATCCCCATCATTGGAGGATATGAAGAACAGGTTAGACAAACTGTCAGGGATGGTCTATGTTCATGGCTTTCAACCTTTCCAGACTACTGTACCCCTTTCAGGAGTTTAATTGGTCTTGTGTACCCCCAAGTTTCACCTCACTTAAAAACTACTTGCTTACAAAAAAAAATACAAAAGTTGTACAGCACAGTATTACTGAAAAATTGCTTACATACGCATTTTTATCATAGAATTATAGATCAATTGGAATATACATAGTGTACTTACATTTCAGTATATAGAGCAGTATAACGAAGTCATTGTCTGTACAAAATTTTAGTTTGTACCTACTTCGCTAGTGCTTTTTATGTAGCCTGTTTAAAACTAGGCAAATATCTAGATGAGTTGATGTACCCCCTGGAAGTCTTCTGAGTATCCCCAGGGGCACATGTACCCCTGGTCGAGAACCACGGGTCTATGTATACCTGGTCCTGCCTCACAGCAGAGAGCTGGATTAGATGCCCTCTTTAAGTCCCCTCCAGCCCTACAATTCTATGAGACAAAAAGAAGATGGGTACAGACCAACAGGGGAGTACAAGGAAACAGTGAGACAACACTGGCAATAGGTAGCAGTCACAACATACCAGTAGCCTAATAGTCAAGTTTTTTGCAGGCCTCACAGCATAGGAGAGTTTTGGAGAGGGATTTGAAGGAGTTAGGGAGGTAGCTTTGTGGATGTTCATGGGGAGCTCCTCCCACATTTGAGGGGCAGCCAAGGAGAAACCAGGAAGGGACTTACTTGAAAGCTTAACGAGTGGGCAGCACAGACTGACATCATGGGCCAATCGGAGCCAAGCACTGACCTCTTAATAGCGAATGACAGATTATAGGAAGGGTGGAGACTGGGCAGAGGGCCTTGGAAGTAGAGAAAAAACCTTATGTTTGATGCGCTAGAGAAGGAATGCACAGACAGTGATTTGCCCAAGCTGATGCACCCTCTCTATGCTTCAATTTCCCCGGCCCCACCCCCCATCTCTCAGAAGGGGATAAACACAGCCTGTCTTGCATAGGCACCGGAGGAAAAATAGTGGGGTGGAGCAGGGGTCAACTACTTCCATGCTACTCAAAAATGGCACCTATGCAGTACACAGTGAGATGCGGGCCCCATTTGAAAAGCAGCACTCTTCTTTAGAAAGAATTTGAGTATGCTGTGAGAAAACATGGATTACTGCTCAAGCCATTGCAACTGCAGTCACTCTATGCATGCAACACCCAGACGCTGAAGAGAGCCTGGAAGCACCTAGTAATTGCTTCAGCTTTGTCAGTTGTAGCTTTGTGTTGCACTAACCTACCTCTGAAATGTATTAATGCCCAAAAGAGGATGAAAACACCAAGAACGACAGGAGATTTTCCAGAGTTAGTCTCAGGCTGGGAGAGAAAGTTCACACAATCTCTGGGGAAATGAGGAGTCTTGCAAGCGAATGATGCTGGATCATGATGCAACTGTTGAGTCAGGGAAAAGGACTTCCCACACACACCCAGTCATACACTAACAGGAATTATGCAAAACTTTCCCAGAAGATGCTGTTCTTGTTGGGATGTGGCTCTAGCCTTTGAGGGCACTGTCCAAACACGTTCAGACACCCCAGCAACATGACAGGATACTCATCAGAAAGCAAGCTAGCTATTTGCCAGTGTGAGTCTAGCTCTGTTGCTGCTGTCCATTGAGATTGCCAGAGCATGAATATCTCAGAGGCCACAGGAAGTTTTTAACTTCAAACCAGAGCTCTGTTGGAGGAAGGACACTGATGTGGAGTGCTATGGAAAGGGAGGAAGAGAGCTAGATGTTTGAGTATAAAGGGCCAGCATCTTCAGTTTACGTAAGCTAGAGACGCTCAGCTGGAGTCATTGCAGTTACACCAGCCTAGGGTATGGCTCAGAGTAGAAGACAGTTGAGTTAAAAGGGGTACAAATTCACTGTACATCTAAAAAACAGGGCAGATTTTCCAGAAAGCAAGACAGCATAAGCTTGTGTCAGTGCATAAGAGCAGACACAGAGGAAGAAAGCCAAGGAAGAAGGGGATAGTGCTGGGAAAGTAATATGGCAGGAAAGATATCAGAAGTGGGGTAAATGCTGTGGATGGAAGAAGAGTTTTTACAGAAGAAATTGAAACAATAACCACCCTTGAACAAGACAGACGCTTTTGACCAAATGTTCTGACCAGCTTCATGGTAGGCTGAATGATGCCAGTTATTTCTAACCTAATGAGGGTATTAGTCGTTATTAGGTAATTGCTGATGCTTGGCTAGGGTCTGAACCTACAAACGCATCTATGACATTTTGGGTCACAATATTAAAGCCAAGTTCTTTCTATCCCATCCTTCACTTTGTGCAGCCTCCCTGCGAAGTCAGAGGTGCGAGAGCAGAATTCAACCAGGCACCAAGGAGTTTATCATCTAGAGCAGGAATGGCTCTCAGATAGGAATGGGGGAAAACTTGCTTAAGAAAGTAGCTGGATGGGAACTGAATTTTAACATTTGAATGCATTATATGGATGATGCTTTGTTTTAGCCTGAGAATGCTTTTCTTTTTATAGAAAAAAGAAACATGTGCCACAGAGTTTAATAAAAATTGAATTATTCAGCAGATCTGTACTGGGATAAAGGGTCTGTCGTGACCCTCAGTACTTCAAGGGAGCCCATATGCTACCACTATTTGTGCGGTATTTGGTGTGTGACTGGGCAAGGGGACTTCAAGTCTCCTTTACTGTCATTTGCCACTTTTCACAAGCACTAGATACCAAGGAGGCAAGAAATTACAAGCCACTGCATTTGATCCAAGCAAAATCATAGCAATTCAGTCTATTTTAAGGTTTTATGATCCTAGACATCCATGTAGACTCTCAGATAAACAACTCTGAAGAAGGTACTGTCATACGATGAGACTTTACACAGAATGCTGAATTGGACGGCCTAGCTCTCCACATGCTGGTGCCACACAACCAAGACAATTCCTGTCCTGAAAAGTCTACAACATAAGAGACTCCCAAGGCAATTCAATCTAGACGGTAGAACCACTGGCAGGAAAATGACTAACTGGGGACTTATTTACATTGAAATCGAAAGTGAGAATGCATTTTAGTAAGTTCTCTAGAAGACAGAGCAGGAAAAATCTAGGAAACTGTCTCTTGTCGTTCCCTTTCCCTGGTCTATGTTGACCCAGTCCTTAGACTGGGCCCCTGGAGCATAAACCATACTGTGTTTCTTCAGTGCCAAGCACATCTTGGCAACTACTAATCAAAAATAATAAGGTCTGCACAACATACATCAGAAAAACAAGCAGAATATTGGATGCACTTGGAGCTCAGAACAGTCATGAGAATTGCTCAACACAGACGCTATGAAGAGTCATCTTAGATGAGATCGATTGCGCTACTGTGGCTAGATTTTGGATAAGAGTTTATCAACCTATTCTGATCTCTACAGAGATGAGACAATAATTAAAGGTAGGGTGGGAGGTGATTAATTTATGCAGAAAGGCTAGAAAAAAAAAACAGGATGGAATTTGTAGTAGATGGGAGAAGAGCCAATTGAGCTCCAAATGGATGAATGCTAAGGAGGATTGTGAAAGCAGAAGCGAAAGCTCTTTCACATCTGTTAACCCAAGGATTCAGAAGAAAGTGGTAATTTCAATTCCTTCTTTAGGGTTCCCAGTAGAAGTATCTAGTATAGTCTATGTTCATAATTTAAGCAAACATCATCAGCAATTGGTTATTATTTGGGGTCAGACAACAAGCTCTAACCCACCTTTCAAATCTGCAATGCTCCTCTGAGCAATTTGTACCCATTGTAAAATTTTTAAATATGTAGAGAGAGAGAGCACGCTTGTGTTTTATTAAGCAAAACTGAACTTGGCATGGGGTGGAGGGGGCAGCACGCAATACACTGGGAGCCAAGCTTTTAAAAAGGGCGGATACCTGTGCATAAAGCAACCCCCATGTACACCAGCAGGTGCAGCTACCCAGGGCCAGGCTTAGGGAAAATGGCACCCTGGGTGAATTTGTATTTTTGCACCCCTGATCCCCATGGGCATGGCACCTCTTCCATTGCCCCTGGGGGCACCTCACCCCTCCTGCTCCCCCAAGACGGTGACTAGATAGCAAGTGTGAAAAATCAGGACAAGGAATAAAACAAAGCCCTGACTATCAGGACTGTCCCTATAAAATCAGGACCTCTTAGCCCCCAACACTCAGCTCCTGCGCCCACAAGAGGAAACTGACTTGCTGGCTCCCCCGCACCAACGCTGCTCCTCCACACCCCAAGGAGGCCGGGCTTGGGGAGCGAGGAACCACATCAGGGCTCGCTGCGTCCAGGTCATGTCCCCACGGGGGCTGGGTAAGGGGAGACCGGAGAGCAGCGGCTCCCGATGCTCAGCAGCCCAGCCGGGCACAGTGACCCGGCTGCGCCCGGAGCTCGGGGCTGCTCTTCGCTGCCCCGCTCGCAGCCCCCCAGTGGGGGGCCCAAGCCGGGGCTGCACACCCCCGCTCCCCCCCCATTCCCCTCTGGGAGGAAGCAGGGCGACACCTGGGCACCCCAAGCGGCACCCCCCTGCCAGCGGGGAGCAGTGTGACACGACCCGCCTTGCATCACTTCACCTGGAGCAGGGCTTGGAGCAGAGGAGACCCCGGGGGGGGGGCAGTGCAGACGGGGACGGGGGGGCCTGCCCTGGAGCGCGAGGGAGACACCCCCACAGGGGGCACGTGGCGGCGGGGGGGGGGGAGAGAAGAGCCGCCCCCTCCCCCAGCGGAACGGGACTTACCGCCTGGGCCGCGGGGAGCCCCCAGGGGGGTCTCCAGCCCCGCCCGGCGAAGCCTGGGCCGCGGGACCCTCCCCCAAGGGCGGCGGCGGCGCGACCCCCCGCTCGCTGCGCCGCTTCATCCTCGGCTCTGCGCCGGGCAGCGGCGCCGGCTGCCTTATCTGCGGGGGGCGGGGCCAGGCCGGCTCGGACCCGCCCCCTCCGCCCCAGCACCGGCCAGGAAGGCGGGGCTAAACCCCGCTTAGCCCCGCCCCTCCCTATGCCCCGCCCCCCGGCTGCCGCTCAGGGCTGGGGTGTAGGAGTAGCTGGGTTGGGGCCCCCGCTGCCCCACCCGCTGCGGGGCCAGGGCAGCTCTGGCTCCCTGGCCTTCCCTGTCCTCTCTCCGCTGCATCGGCTGGGGCAGCGAGCTGGGGGCTGTATGCCCCCTCTCTGCAGCACGGGCTGGGGGAGCAGGGTCAGTCACAAGAAATGGCCCCACCAGGGGCGCCAGCTGGGGGGCAGGCAGGGGTGAAAGTGGGCCGGTGCGGCGAACTGGTAAGAAGCCGGTTCCAGTCCGTACCCAGCTGCCGCAGCAAAGGACCCTCCTTACAGCGCTGCTGCTAACGTCGCCGCCCCCCCCGTCACATCAGCGGCCCTGCCCGTAAGGAGGCCGATGGAGGGGGGCAAAGGGGCAGCTACCCCAGGGCCAACAATTTAAGAGGGCCCAGGACTCTGGCCACTGCTGCAGTGGCCAGAGTCCTGGGCCCTTCAAATCACCGCAGGAGCCCCGGGCAGCGTGAGCCAGGCAGCGCGGATGGACTGGCTGAGGGAGGTTGACCCCCAGGCCCACCCCTTCCAGGGGCCCGGAGCCAGGCTCCCGTCCCGGTAAGTGTTTAATATTACTTTCACCTCGGGGGACAGGGGAGGGCAGTTGTTGTATTCAAGAGCTAGTAACAAAGAATATACATTAAAATTGTAAACCTAACCAGTGTCCCTTAAGTGACTTGACACTAGATGTGAGAACATGTAAGGATTAGAGCTGAGTGGGTCTAATATTTATGTAATCCTCTTTTTTTATATAGGAATTAGATACAGTGCTCTATCAGCTAATTTCTAAGTTATTATCTGGGAAAAAAACCCTCGAGTTTTCAGATGCCTAAGTAGCCCCTGGAATCCTGGTTAAAGTTGCCCCCTCCCCCACCAAAATCTAAAATGGTGCCCCTGTGGCCGACATGTCTGCCCAAGCAGTATTTCGTCAAAGCGCGTGAGTCAGCCAGTTACACAGAAATGCAAAAGCAAAATTTATGCACACCGAGCTCCTCCGCTAATGATACAATTGGGAAAGGAGCTGGGTCTCTAGCTACATTTGCTACACAACGTTTTACAACAGATTGGGTTGTGTAATGGACATTTGGATCACTCATTTTTAGTGTCACAACCAAAACTGGAGCAGAGGGTAGTGTAAACACAACCAGCATCTATAAATAGATGGGCGACCAGCATGGTTAAAAATAAAAATTAAGCTTGATTTTTCACTGGAGTCACAAAATGAAAAATATGGCACTGCCAGTCTGAATGTGTGCTTGGGCTAAAGAGCACTCTGGAAATGTGGGGAAACTAAGGAGTATAACTTGGCTAGCAAACATTGTGCAATTATAACAGCTTGATACCATGTTTAATTACCTGGGATTCATTACAGATATAATCTATCACCTTGAGCTAAATCCCTGTATGTTGCCCAAAAACATGCACTAGGTAAAGACGCTGAGGGTACATCTACGCAGCTATCAGGAGGCTAGCTTTGTGAGCTAGCTTTGCTGTAGCTAGACCAGTGATCCTCAACCTGCGGCCCATGGGTCACTTGCTGCCCAATCAGCACAGTGCTGTGGCCCTTGTGACATCCTCAGGGCCATACAGGTAGTATTGGATGCAGCCCACATAACACATACACGACCCACAATAGTAAATAGGTTGAGAACCACTGAGCTAGATGAAAGCCAGCTCAGGCTTGCAGTGTCAACATACCCTGAGTCACTTAACAGTACTATCACTGTAATAAAGCCAAACAAGCTAAGAATCCAAAAGATTTTTAATAAGACGTGCATATGTGAATGGTCACTTGAATAGCTGAGGAGATAATGTCTAGACTTTACAATGGAGAAATCGTTTTAGTTTTTGATAGAAACCAAGGATTTGAGCTGATCTGGCTAGATACAAGGGGAATTGAAGGTGCAGAGTTTTGCATTTTAGGTATCAAGTCAGACCTAACCAAGAGAGTAGAGTCAACTAGACAAATAAATTAAAAACCCCAATACCATGGGCGGCGGGTATCATAGGCCAGAGGAAGCTAAGCCTCTCCTAACCCAGGCCTTGGCCCCACCCACACTCTGCCCTGAGACCCTGCCCTCACTTCTCCTGTCCCCTGAAATCGGCAGGGGCTCAGCCTGGGCCAGGGCTCGGTTGGCCAGCAGCCAGGGGCAGCCCAGGGCAGCTCGGCCAGAGGCGGCTTGAGCCAACCAGCCAGGGGCAGCTCAGGCTGGCCCAGGGGTTGGGCTGGTGCTCGGAGCCGGCTGGTGGCCCAGGGGTTAGGCCGGTGCTCAGGGCCAGGTGGAGGCCCAGGGATCAAGGCGGCCAGTGTGGCTGGGATGGGCTGGCTGGCAGCCCATGGCTCAGGGCAGCTGGAACAGATGGGCCAGTGCTCGGGGTGTTTTGGCCAAGCCACGGTGGGGCTTGGGGTTCTGGCGGGCGAGGGGGTTGGAAGAGGTGGGGTAGGGGCAGGGCCTCCGGAACCAGGGACTAGTCTCCCCAAAGGGGCGGGGGGTTCACATGCTGCCCATGCCCAGTACTGAGGCCTTACAATGATTCCTGGGCCTGTTAACATCTCTAGTCTGTCGAAAGGGAATTAGAGGACAGTACATAATGGTACTGGGATGACAGAAGAAAAGCTTTGAGTAGTTTAAAAGCTGCCATGGAAGTGTCTGTACTGAAATATTTTGGAATTCATAAAAGAGCCTAATACCTCAGTCAATACAGCTTCACATGTGTTTGGGGCAGGCCTCCAGCAAGATGATCAGTTAGTGGCACTAGCTAAAACTCAGAAGAACTATGCTCAGATGGCAAAAGAAAAGCTAACGTCTTCGGTTGTGAGCAGTGTCATAAGTATGTTTTTGGGTAGAAGTCAATGGAGATGGGAAAGAAACCACAGACCTTTTCAAGCAATATCACAGAAACCACAGGGCAAAGCACTTCTGGACTTTAGAAAGTGATTATAAAGTAGCAGAGGTCTGATCAAGTGGAAATTCTTATCGTGCACATGCTTTCAAATACAAATAGTTGTGACCGACTCTAGTTATAATACCAATCAGCATCTATTATTTGAGGATATAACACAGTTGTCCAGAAGGATCTGAATAACTTCCATGTAAAATCAATAGTAATGGTATATTACTAGTATGAGGTCAGAAATGGTAATCTGAATATGGAGAATTATAAGATCAGAGCCCATGAATCCTATTCTGGTCAGGTGAAGATAGGATATCCAACTGTGAAATATGCAATAAATACAGGAAACAGAATGTAAAAGCCACTGAAATCACTTGAAATTGTAAAAATCTACTTGACTCTGGTACAACACATGGTTACAGGTTTTGGAATTAGAGCAAATTAAATACACCAATAAAGATAAAAAGTTGACAAAGCACAAATGGATCTTTTAATGGTAACAAATAAAGGCTGTGAATAAGATTTTGTTAATACTGGTGTGCTCACTTCATAGGATCATAGAACTGTAGGGCTAGAAGAGAGATAATCAAGTCCAGTCCCCTGCGCTGAGGCAGGACCAGGTACACCTAGACCATCTGTCCTGTTTTGGGGTGCAATTCTGGCTAGTAAGGGGTTGTCTAACCACTTGTCCTGTAACCAAGTGCCTTAAAATGCTCTCCTGCTGTCGCTCCCTGTCTGGACGCACCCAGCCAGCATTCAAGCACGCACTGAGTGTGTGTTAAGCAGCCCTGGTTCAGCAACTCGGACTCCAGCAGCCTGCTTGTTATACCATAGCCACACTCTGGTCTCCACCAGCCTTAGTTACTACTAGCCAAGAGACCCCAACACACCCCCAGCCCTGAATTTCCCCAAAACTGCCCTGGCGTGTCCAGCCCTCTCTTGGAACACTCTGGGAAGTAAATGAAGCTCATTTGCTCCTTTAGAGAGGCAAAAGCACGTTCGAGCTTATTAACAGAACTGGGGTAAATACACCCTTCCCTTCAAGCACACCACTGTGCTGGTTTATTGAAAAAATAAAACAAGTTGATTAAGAAAAGGGCATAGGGTAAGAGATTCCAAATAGAAGGAATACAGTTAGAAAGGATTACAAACAAACAAAAATAAACATATGCTTTCTAATGGCTAAGATCTAACTTAATGAGCTACAGTCTTTGTTAAGGAAACTACTTTGAACAATCTTCCAGTCCGAGAGATTTCAACCCCCTTGACTGCAGGACCCATATTTCTCTGCTTGCAAGAGCTCTGCTCCCTGTGTCTGTCTAGTGACTAATGCCAAGGTGGCTTCTTCTCTCACACACTTTCCCAAACTCACGGTTTTGTCCCCAGGCTCAGGATGTCTTCATGATGTTCTTCCCTTCCTCGGGATTTCCCATTCCCCCTGCTGATTCATATATAAATGGGGCTTCAATTGTTTTGATTTCACAATGCTACCTTCCCTCCTGGGGGGAAAATTTGTTTTTCCCTGGGTTTGGTCACAGCCAAATATCATTGAGTATGCATATTGCCTTGTATAGTGTAATACACACATTTCACAATAATATAAAACACCAGTGTGGTTCATACACACTCAATACACTTTTACTTATATTGTATACAAGCAGTTGATTCAATTGCTTATCCTTTGAGATTCAGACCCCTGCAAGAGGATATTTCCTAGGTTGATGGTTTTGTTTACCTTTTACGTAAATGTCCTTAATTGTCTCTACCTGATGACCAGTCTGGTCAGACAAATAAATACATATTCCTTTGTCTAGGGCACACTGGGCTTATGCATTGCTTGCCAAACACAATTTAAGAACATAATTCTAGCACATATCTATAACTCTTTGTATGCACTGTGCACATGCAGCATGCAAGAATATTAATGATCACTGAGTT